GCAACTGGTGTACCAGGCGAACCTGGGCAAATGCCCCCCTGGTCACAGCTGACAAATGATGTTTGAAGGTCAGCTGTGGGACTCCCAAATTGCGAACCCTGTCTGAGGGGCGTAATTTGACCCCCCAGCCTGAGAGATGGAACACTTGGCCAATTCGCGGGAGGGAAACACAGCAGCCACTCGGTCTTTTCTGGATTGAGCACAAGCTTTTTGACCCCTATCCAGTCTTTAACAGCCTCCAGACCCTGGCTCATCACCATGACCTGGATGACTAAGAATCTCTGTAAATATATAGTTACCAAATGTCTACTGTAATAATTAACAATGTCAGAGTCACTCCAAGCATGGCACAACATGACCATCCAAGGTCCTTAGAAAACATCACTTCCCAAATTCTGATCTCTGTTTTGCATCCTTGAGGCAACACAGCACATTTGGCCACAGAGATTTCATAGACCAATCCCTACCCAGAGTTAAATATACGTGGCACACAAAGAAACAGAGATGGACATGAAGCAAAATTAAAAACATCAGCAGGTCATCAGTAACTACTTTTTTTTTTAACTACATGTAGAGTGGCTCTACTGTTGAAAGGTTAAAGTCACCAGGCAGATAAAATTCAGCCAGGTGAGTCTCAGCAATCATGCAATGAAGCCTTGGTCAGGCATTCAATCTGAAATCTTTTATTCTGGAGTTGTGTTTTTTCAACATGGTCCTAAAATGCTTTGCAATTGTAGCAAGTATAAATGATAAAGTGGTAGAATAATGTGAAGCATGTTTTTTAAAAAGAGTTAGGAAGGATTAACCTTCAAGTAGGAAGGCACAAAAAGTTCCAAAATAGAATAACAAAAATCCAAGATACCTGCCTGCCTAGAAACAATTTTGCTATTGTGGGAAACTCGTGTGGGTGGGCTGTTGGAATGCAAAGGCAATGGGACAGAAAAACAGATGTGCACACTTGAATATCATGTTTATAACTTGACATTTGCACACCACAGCCTTGAAGCTGAAAACTGGAGAATGAGGAATTAAAATCCTTTTAAGTTGTGCTCAACTTGTTATCCCTAGACAACAACCCAGTGGCATGTTCGAACCAGTTCTACAAAAGCTCCTGGAATATTGTGCTCTGCATCGGTACCTGTGTTGGTTACTTTGCCACAAAAATGAATGCAGTTCAAACATCTGGGTAATATGATATGGTGTGACCTGCACATTCACAGCTGTTGTGTAGGATCAAGCATGAAGGGCATGTCATTTAATGGGGTGAAAATTAATTGTTGCATTTTTTTTTCAGTGAGGGGGTAAAAATATGTGTTTTTACACCAAGAATTCAAATCTGTGGATATTTTTGCAATTGCACAATGTTCAGCTTGATATGGTAAATCCACATCTGATCATATATCCCCGAAAAGTCTCTTCTAACCCAAATACTATTAACTTTATCTTCTCAAAATTACGCCTTATGCTATAAAAATTAAAGATTTTTTTCCGCATGAATCTTATCTAGCTAGCAAAAAAAATAAAAAATAAACACATGATCATAAACATGGGAGGAGTCCCTTAGTGGATTTTTTTTCTTTTTCCCACTTTGTATATAAAAGAAAAAAGAATATACCCAGAAAGTAAGATGTTCTGAATCACATTACATTTTGGTCAAAAGCATGAATAAACTACATTCATTGTTCATATATCCCATGCATTTGCAATTAGATTTACAGAAACTAATTGTTAAAACTAGTCTGCACCAAACAGAAAACAGTGAATGTTTCAGATAAAACAATATGCCTTTCAAGAGGATTTGATTTTCAATACATACTATAGCGTATGGGCAAGATTAAAATCATTTTGCTATATGAATGATATGCAAAATCTGTCATAACTGAAAAAAGAATAAAAACCATCCTCCAAAGCTGATAAGCTGATGACTACTGCAAATTGGACCCCTATGAATTATTTAGATGGTAGAATTAGGCTGTTTGAAAAAGTAGCTCTGTAGAATTATAAGAATGCATAAATACCATTAGATGAATTTTTAATACTGCATGTTATTATTTTTATGCATTTTAATATGTGTATGTGTGTGGTGGACCTTTTGTTCTTCATATTATTACTATTATTTTTTGCAATAACTACTAGATGCAATCATAACTTAGCGATTTGACAATCTCTGTGGTATATAATTTTGTGTAACAGTTGGCATTGTACAATCCTGTAGCATACACTCTGTTCCTGGGAGAAGACTGAGTTTCTTGAAGTGGAAAGAGATAGCCCTGAAATGCATGTTTTGACATGTGTTATATGGAGTTGTGGATATCTGCTAGGGTATAAATTAATAACTTATTCATCATGCACATGATCCTGGCAGGCTCCATGTTTCTGCTTGTCTGTTCCTGTGTCAGACTCCATAAACTGTTAACGCTGGGAGGTTTAAGTCAGAAATCTCATTGTGCACATGTCACTTATTACATCCTCTATATCCGGGATGGTGAACCTATGTCACACGTGCCACAGGTGGCACACGGAGCCATTTGTCAGGGCACGCAAGGCATTACCCTGTCAGCTGGCCAGAGCACATGTGCACGCCGGCCAGCTGAGTTCAGCCTTTTTTGAAGCCATTTCTCACCCTCCCCAGGCTCCAGAGGCTTTATAGGAGCCTTGGGAGGGTGGAAAGAGCCTCCCCCACGCCCCTGGAGGCCCTCCGGAGGCTTCAGGAGCTTCTCTGAAGCCTCTGGAGCACAAAAAGCCAGCCCTATGGGCAAACCGGAAATTCGGGAACAGACTTCCGGTTTGCTCCTAGGGTCAGTTTAAGCCCTCCGGAGGCTTCAGGGACCTTCAGGAGACTTCCCTGAAGCCTCCGGAGGGCTTAAACAGGCCCTACGAGCAAACTGGAATTGACTTCCAGTTTGCTCGTAGGGTCATTTTTGTCCTCCGGAGGCTTCAGGGAAGCCTCCTGAAGGTCCCTGAAACCTCCAGAGGGCCTCCGATGCTGCAGGTGAGGCTGTTTTCACCCTCCCCAGGCACCTATAAAGCCTCTGGAGCCTGGGGAGGGCGAAAAAAGCATCCAAAAAAGTGGGGAGCACACTGGGGGTCACATGTTGCATTATGGTTGTGGCACGCCCGCGCACTCCCCCCTTATGGCACGCGAGCCAAAAAAGGTTCGCCATTGCTGCTCTATATTAACAAAGCAGCATTTCAAAAAATCCAAGACTTTCCTGAATCTGTCTTTGGGCTTCACTGCTTAATCTGAAAACCAGGCAATGCCTAAAAAGAGAGAGGTAGGGGGGGAGAAGAGAAGAGAAACTTGGCTTAAGATTTAGGATTGTGGGGTATTTTTTGTCTTCTTTATTTTTCTAGCTTCAGTGCAAAATACATTTTATTCAGCTCTAATGATGTTCCAACATTAACTTTTCCCTTCTAAAGAATCCTCGGGCTAATGCAATTCACTTTGGAGAGAAAACAAGCAAGAAGAATGTGCTTCATTCCATGCTGCCAGTTATTTCCACCTCAAATTTTCTCCTCTTGCCCTTTCAGTTCCTTTAACCTTTATCTTTTTGCCATGTTTAAACGATGCACAAAAGCCTGAACAGGATAGTTAAAAGTTTCTGGAAGAAATGTTCAGTGAGAAACAACTAGTAGGGGAAAGGTTAAACACTCCTTTGGCTCATCTCTTGTTCTGAAGAACTCCATGCACCAGCTCCACAGTAAAACGTTTACATGAATGCCCAAAGCATAGGAAGGCCTTTTCATACGCGGCCTTTAAAAAATGTGAGGAAAATAGCAAAAACAACTTCTGAACTTTCAATTATGAGCTATCTTTTTTGTTTAATTTGGTTGTATTTTCTTCTGGAAATTAGACACCATGTAGTTTATACCTAGGTCAGAAAGAAGTGAATCAAAACTGAACAGAATTTAGCAGAGGTGGGTTGCTAATTTTTTCACTACTGGTTCCGGTGTGCTCTTGCTCAATGCTTCTGTGCATGCGCAGAAGTGTCCGGGCAGGTGGGCGGAGCCTCCTGCTGCTGCTACTACTGGTTCACCTGCTCCGGGCTGAACCAGCAGCAACCCACTTCTGGAACTTAGTTAGGTACAGGAAGCATTGCTGGGCTCATGATTATTGTTGATAGATTCTGATATAATCCTGTCAGATTCTGCTGATTTCTACAAGCAATGACTGCTTGTGTGCTGTCCATGCAAAATATAAATGCTACTTCCAAGCTGTATTCAGTTGATGCTTGTGAGGTAAAAACATGTAATAGAAGATAAAGTTCCAGGACTGGATATGGCACAAATGCTGTTTGTATCTATCTATCTATCTATCTATCTATCTATCTATCTATCTATCTATCTATCTATCTATCTATCTATCTATCTATCTATCTATCTATCT